AGTCACTATGGAAAACAGTATGGAGGTTCCTCAAAAACTTAAGAATAGAGTTAGTGCCCTGATTTGGCTCAGTGGATAGAGCATCAACCTGAGAACTGAAGGGTCCCAGGTTCGATTCCAGTCAAGGCATTGAGCCTACGTTGTGGGCTCAGTCCCCAGTGTGGAGCGGTTGTGAGGCAGCCAATTAATGATTCTTTCTTATCATTGATGTTTCTATCTATCTCTCCCTCTCCCTTCCTCTCTGAAATCAATATATAAATATATATATATATATATATATATATATATATATATATATATATATATATATATATATATATAGAATATAGAGTTACCATATGACTCAGCAATTCCTCTTCTGGGTATGTGCCCCCCAAAAACTCAAAAACATACATTTGCAAAGATATATGCACCCTTGTATTTATTGCAGCATCATTCATGGTGCCAAAAACAAAAGTGTCCTTCAATAGATGATTGGCTAAAGATGTGGTCCCTATATACGATGGAATCCTACTTAGCCATAAGGAAGATGAAATGCCCAAACTTTTCTTTTTTTAAAAAATGTGTATTGTTGAAAGTATTAAATATGTCTCCTTTTTCCCCCCACTGACATCTTCTAGCCTGCACCAACCCTCTTGCCCAGGACCTTCATCACCCTATTAACTTTGTCCATTTGTTATGCATATATGCATACAATTTCTTTGGTTCATCTCATCCCACCCACCCTCTCCCACCTTCCCTCTGAGATTCCGCAATCTGTTTCATGCTTCTATGTCTTTGGATCTATTTTGTTCATCAGTTTATTTTGTTCATTAGATTCCACATATGAGTATGTTAATGTGATACTTGTCTTTCTCTGACTGGTTTATTTCACTTAGTATAACACTCTCCAGGTCCCTCTATGCTGTCTCAAAGGATAAGAGATCCTTCTTTTTTATAGCTGCATAGTTCTCTCCCTATCTTCCATCCTTGGTTATCAGGGTTCTCTCCAGCTAATCCTCAGTTGACTTTTCAGAATTTAGTTGTATTTCCAGTTTGGTCCTGGGAGAGTGTCAGTATAGCTTTCATTACTTCTCCATCATTCTCTACCTCCCTCCATTCTTTTGTTTTAAATATCATAAAATATCCATATTGAGGTAATCATTATGAAAGTGGTACATTTTCATAGAAACAAGTCATTTCTGAAACTAATTTGACTTATAGTAAAAATTTGCTTTTTGTATAAAAACCACCATGCCTTGGTTACTATGAACATGAATCAAATGATTTGGTGGGCGGGGGGGGGGGGGGGGAAGAGGTAGAAAGGATGTGGTTGGAAAAGTTTCTTTGCCAGTGAAATGACATGATACTTGGAAACATCTTGATATTGTGAAAGAAGGATTAGGAAAGCACTGCCATCTGTAGCTGGGGCCTTCTCAGAACAGCTTAACTACATAAACAGTTTTCTGTACTCTTCTTAGCTGCCAGCATAAATGTTTGCAATTTTTAATGACGAAAACAGATGTAAATGGAAGGCCAGTGTGGTGGGTGATCTTTGCCTAAGTGGTGAGAAATCCAAGAGGAAAGTTTCCAGTCAAAAGTCATGGTTTTAAATGTATCTTAATTGTCTATCAAAATAAACTGAGGTAGAAATCATAAGAAAAAAAAGTTTCTAGTCAAAAGTCGAGGTTTTCATATATCTTAATTACCTATGAAAATGAATTGAGGTAATAAGGTTAGGAAATGAAGTTTTAATTTTGAGAATTAAAACTAATGAGTTTTATGCTCAGACCTTTAAAAAATATTTGCCATTTTTTTGTTCACATTGGGATTCTAATAGACTGATCAATAATGCATGAAATAAATATTTAATTTTTTTGTGAAGTGTCTAAGGTGAGGGAAGTACTAATGTTTATATATAGATGGGAATTTTAGGTATGGCCAACCATTTGGGGGACCTTTTTCTTTCTAAAATTATTTCCCAGGATATTTTAAACAAAACTGTATATTTCCCACTAAACTTTAAAAAATCTCTTTTGTAAATAATACTAAATAAAAGATTTATTTTCACATGAATTGCTTTATTTTTTTCTTCAAAAACAATTTAGTATAGAACATGAATGATTAACATTTGCATCTGTAAGTTTACAACTTAAAATTTTTTTGTTATAGAGGTACATCAAAGTGACCATATTGATTCTTGAAGTGACATTAACTAATGCCATAACTACATATTTCCTGCCTTGGAATTTTTTTCCTGAAATATATAGTTTGTAAGAAATGTGAGTGTTCATGTCCTCTGTGTGCTCTACAGATTGAATGTAACTCAGTCTACAATATCTAATAGATTTTCCCATTTAATTGATACTGTACTTGTTTTAACAGCATTTTTAAGTTTTAGTACAATAGGAATATTTGGATGGAGTCTCAGGTATTTTGGATTTTTGTAGAATTGTACTGGACTGATTACCTCAATTGTCCTATACCTAAGGTCTTTATAGAGTCTTAGGAAGCTAGAAAAATTTACTTGGCACTTCTCTATATTTTCTACCAGCATATTTAATGGATAGACATCTTTTTCTTTTGAGTCCATTTCACCTTTCTAATGAAGAGTCAGTGTTATAAGCATATTAAGGATTTCAATCGCTTCCTGTTAAAAGTAAGAAAGTCGCCGGGACCGGTTTGGCTCAATGGATAGAGCGTCTTCTTGGGGACTGAAGGTACCAGGTTCAATTCCGGTCAAGGGCATGTACCTTGGTTGCGGGCATATCCCCAGTAGGGGGTGTGCAAGAGGCAGCTGATCGATGACTCTCTCTCATCGATGTTTCTGACTCTCTATCTCTTCCCTTCCTCTCTGTACAAAATCAATAAAATATATTTTTTAAAAATAAAATAAAAAAATAAAAGTAAGAAAGTCACACCCAAAATTAGTTTGCTACATCTTCACTATCTTGAGGTAAAATAATTATTTTGTGAAAAGAAATAATAAATAATAAAAAATAAAGATCTGCAGATGTTCATACCACTATATGTATTAGTATTGCAGTAAAGCCCGGCTTGCATGACTTAGTGGTTGAGCATTGACCTATGAACCAGGAGGACACAGTTTAATTCCCAGTCAGGGCATATGTCTGGGTTATGGGCTTGATCCCTAGTAGGGGGTGTGCTGATGTTTCTATCTATTTCCCCCTCTCCCTTCCTCTCTGAAATCAATTAAAAAAAATTTTTAAGTGCAGCAGAAAGTGTAGTAATTTTCTGTTGTTAATCGTCACCCAACAATATTTTTCCATTGTTTTTAGAGAAAGTGAAAAAGAGAGGGAGAGACAAACGTAGATGTGAGAGACACACATTGATTGGTTGCCTTCCGACCAGGGCCAGAATGGAGCCTGCAACTGAGGTATGTGTCCTTGACAAGAATAAAACCTAGGACCATTCAATCCACAAACTGATGCTCTATTCACTGAGCCAAATTGGCTTGGAGAAATGTAGTAATTTTTTTTATAGTAAATTGGCAGAATTTCCCCTAAGATGTTTAAATCTAGGAATATTGAAGATTTGTTTGAGTGCTGAGAACATATCTTACAGTGTTTATCTCTTCTCTCCATCCATATGCTCTCATCCTTTTCCTCATCCAGAATACACAAAAGGATATAGATTTTACAGAAAAAAAGGAATTCCAAAAGGTGTTTAAGGAAAGTAGGAGTTATAAAGGAAATGCTCTGATAGATCTGAAGGGGATGGGTGGGAAGAAGTATTGTACTTTAGTTTAGTGTTGATTGGATTTGTGAGATGGCTGTAATTAGGAGATTGTTCTAGATTTGTTTTATTATGCAAGCTTTTTTTTTCTAAAGTCAGTACCTCAGAAACCTACTTGACAGTAAGCAACATAGGTTAGTGCCTTTTGGAATCAAGTTTATATAGTAAACTAATCAAGTTTATATAGCACATGAAATTTGTGCATGGGGGTAGGGGGTGTCTCTCAGCCCAGCCTGCACCTTCTACAATCTCGGACCACTCGAGGGATGTCTGACTGACCGTTTAGACTCGAACCCAGTGGGATTGGACCTAAACAGGCAGTTGGACATCCCTTTCACAATCCAGGACTGCTGGCTTCCAACTGTTTGCCTGCCTGCCTTCCTGATTGCCCCTAACTGCTTTTCCCTGCCAAACTGATCACCCCCTCACCACTCCCCTGCCAGCCTGATTGATGTCTAACTGCTCACCTGCCAGCCTGTTTGCCTCCAACTTCCTTCTCTGCTGACCTGGTCCCTCCCAACTGCCCTTCCCTGCTGGCCATCTTGTGTCCATATGGGGGCAGGATCTTTGACCACATGGGGGCAGCCATCTTGTGTGTTGGAGCGATAGTCAATCTGCATATTACTCTTTTATTAGATAGGATAGAGGCCTGGTGTATGGATGGGTACCAGTGGATTTGCCATGAAAGGTGTCTCAGATCAGGGTGAGGGTTCCCTTGGGGCATGGGGTGGCTTGGGTGAGGGTCCTGTGGTTGTTTGCAGGCTGGCCACACCCCACGGCAACCCAAACGGAGGCCCTGGTATATGGGGCTTATTTACCTTCTATAATTGAAACTTTGTAGCCTTAAGAGGAGATATACAGAAAACTTGGCTTCCTGGATCACCTGAGAAACTCCAGCATCCCTCCTGCTTTCTCTGTGGGTGAAGCCATCTTGGTAGGGTTAATTTGCAATCGCTCTGATTGGCTGGTGGGTGTGGCTTGTGGGTGTAGCAGAGTGATAATTTGCATATTTCTCTTTTATCAGATAGGATAGGTTAAATGACCTATATAATTTATAATGCATTTTTGGCATTTCTTGAGAAAGTTTGATCTACTTTATGATTCATTGTCTGGAGGTAACATTGTTCAGTGTGTACCTCTATGTGAAAAATATTAGTAGAATTATTAAAGAAATGTACCCAGTTACATGTACCAATTACATGGAACAAAAGTACATTGAGAGTAGAGGATTACTTTTGTTGAAACAGTTCTCCTTTATTTACTAGATTCTCCTGAACTATTTCGGAAACTATGTACCTAATGCATGGACACAAGACAGTGGCTGCACTCTTTGTGAATTGGATACAATTGACTTATCTGCAGTAAATGTGAGTGCAATTGAGTGTGTGCAAAATTGAGTAACAAAAGACATTGTTATGAAATACAATGATTTGTAAAAAAGTGATAATATAGTCTTGATAAATAGATTGTGGATTTATAACGCTAAAACAATGACTCAGATAATTGCTAGGTTTGTGTATATCTAACTATTTTTTAAAGCAAAACCAGCGAATAATTGACCTCCATAAAGGGGCTTGGTTGCTAATATTTAATAGCTTGCTATAATTTGGTGTTCTTGTTTTATTTTACTCTGCTAACTTGGTAAAACATTGAGGAAAAATGGTTAAAGTGCTTCAGCATTTTTACTGACTAATTTTATCTGTGCTTGATTTTAAATTTTATTTAAAATAATAATATATATCTAAGGATTATTTTAAGTATTTTACATATATTAAAAACTCATTTAAACTTCATAGAATTTTCAGTAGATAACATTATCAACATTTTTATGATGAGAAAACTGAGGTATGTACACAGGTTAAGTAACTTGTTTAAGGGTATATAATTTTTGTGTTGGAAGTAGGAACTAAACTGTGGCAATCGGGCTCCAGATCCTATCTATAATAATAAAAGTGTAATATGCTAATTTGGCTGGACATCCTCCTGGAAGACCTTCAGTGACAAGCCGGGCTGTGAGGGAAGCCAGGGTCCCAGGTGCCAGAGGGAAGTCGGTGCCAGAAACTGGGGGAAGGAAGGCCTACTCTTGCATGAATTTCATGCATCGGGCCTCTAGTATATATATTTTTATTGATTTCAGAGAGGAAGGGAGAGGGAGAGAGATAGAAACATCAATGATGAGAGAGAATCATTGCTCAGCTGCCTCCTGCACATCCCCTACTGGGGATAGAACCCACAACGCAGGCATGTGCCCTTGACCAGAATAAACTGGGGACCCTTCAGAACACAGGCCAAAACTTTATCTGCTGAGCCAAATCAGCCAGGGCTAGATCCTATGTGTGAAAATAATAATACAAGAATAAATCTTGTGTTTTGCATACTCACAACTGTAAACCTACTTTTGTCCCAGTTTGTATATATTTTAAAGAGAATTATACTATACTTTATCAATTGTACTTAGAGAATAAATGAGCAACGGAAATATTATTTATCTATAAAATATTTAGAATTTTTTTAACAACCAGAGCAGTTTTAGGATATTCTTTTCCTAAAAAAATAAATGTTTTTATTGATATTAGAGAGGAAGAGAAAGAGAGAAAGAAACAGTGATGTGAGAGAGAAACATTGATTGGTTGCCTCCTGCACACAATGAAACCTGGGCATGTGCCCTGACCAAGAATTGAAAGCACAACTCTTCGTGTACATAGGGTGATGCCCATCCAACTGAAGCACATTAGCCAGAGCCAGTTTTAGGATATTCTATAGTAACAGTTTTCTTACAAAATATTGCTTTTGTAACTTGGAAGTCTATTATGTATATGCATTCTAGGGATGATTTTGATCATTAACTCTGATTCCTACTTTCATTCACCTTAAGTTCATTGTGTTCTACAGATTGCCAATAAGTAGAACCAATAGACAAAAATAAAATTCCCAGTAAATTCTGGTCCCATGCAAATACAAAACACTTTTATTGTAAAACATTAAATTTTTGAATTAAATAGTTGCTATTCTTATCACTATATGAAAGGAGAATAAAGAGTAACTTGTGCATATTTAAGAGTTGTTTGTTTTGCCAAAACCGGTTTAGCTCGGTGGATAGAGCGTCAGCCTGCAGACTGAAAGGTCCCAGGTTCAATTCCTGTCAATGGCATGTACCTTGGTTGTGGGCACATCCCTAGGAGACGGTGTGCAGGAGGCAGCTGATCAATGTTTCTCTTTCATCGATGTTTCTAACTCTATCCCTCTCTCTTCCTCTCTGTAAAAAATCAATTATATATAGTTGTTTTTTCCTGACTCACTTTTTTTTCTTTTAAAAAATATATTTTATTGATTTTTTACAGAGAGGAATAGAGAATTAGAAACATCAATGAGAGAGAAACATTGATCAGCTGCCTCCTGCCCACCCCCCACTGGGGATGTGCCTGCAACCCAGGTACATGACCTTGACCAGAATCGAATCCTCAGGCCGAAGCTCTATCCACTGAGCCAAACTGGTTTAGGCTTACTTTCTTTTTTCAAATTAAATTTGTTGGGGTGACATTGGTTAATAAAATTACATAGGTTTCGAGTGTACAATTCTATGATACAGCAACTGTGTATTGCATTGTGTGCCCACCACCCAAAATCTAATATTTGAACATCATATATTTGACATCCTTTACCCTTTACTACCCTCCTTCTCTCTGGTAACCTTATACTGTTCTCTGTGTCTATGAGTTTTCATTTTATATCCTACATGTGACTGAAATTATATGGTTTTTTACTTTTCCTGTCTGACTTACTTCACTTAGCATGATATTTTCAAGATCCATCCATGTTGTTGCAAATGGCAGTATTTTATCTTTTCTTATGTCAAATTAGTCACTTGTCACTTAGGAAAAAAATGTTTCTGTAGTCCCAGTTCATACATTTTCAGATAATGTGCTCTGCAACTCAACATTCACTGAGGAATTTTTCATATAGAGTTTTATTTTCTTGAAAATAAGAGTGTTTTTAGCTAGTCTCTCAAATAAGAAACTGTTTTCTATCTGGAAAGAATGCCAAAATATTTTTGAATGAAGCTACATCATGATGATGTTTTAAAATGTATCCTGATCTTTTTAACAAAAAAGTAGTTCTATATTCTGGAGGGTAGTACTTTTTATGTTTAGTTTCATTTACATAAACTTTCTGGTGCAAAGATAGAAATAAATATTTTAATTTTTTTATCTTTTGTTTGCATATAGGAGTAAATTACTTGATTCTTAGGCTGTTTTGTCTTATAGCCTATTAAAATATATTAGAAAGGAAAACCATTCTATTATGCAAAATAAATTTTTTATATATGTAGTTGTCATATAATAGATACAAAATTAAAATTATGTGGGTAGTTAAGATATCAGTCTTATCATATTCTTAGATTGGACATAGGCAAATTCCTTTATATATAAAAATAATAGTGGCTATCTCAGAGGGTTGGTAGGAAGGTTATATGAAATTTTGTATTTATGATGATATTTTATATTTATACATTTTATACATATATAAATTTAAACATTCCCTAATATTGTTGCTGTTATTATCATTAGTATGTAAAAATTAACTTAGCTTGATAATGGAGATGTAACATGTTGAAGCCTAACTTTTAACCTACTAATTTATGATTAGTTGCTTAACTTTTCTAAATTTTATTTTTCTAACATGTAAATTTGGTATAACAAGTAACTTTAGGGTTATGAAATTTAAATGAAATGTTTTGTCTCATTTGGTAAGGGAGAGTTGTGATCCACTTTATATTATTTTCCTTTATTATTAAGAATTGGGGGTAGCCAAAACCGGTTTGGCTCAGTGGTAGAGCGTCGGTCTGCAGATTGAAAGGTCCCAGGTTCGATTCTGGTCAAGGGCATGTATGTTGGTTGTGGGCACATCCCTGGTGGGGGGTGTGCAGGAGGCGGCTGGCTAATTCATCAATGTTTCTGGCTCTCTATCTTTCTCCCTTCCTCTCTGTAAAAAATCAATAAAATATATTTAAAAAAAAAAAAGAACTACAGGGTAGATATTTTGTCTTTAGTTGTTTGTGCTTTTATATTCACTTAACAATAAATACTTAGGTGATTGAATGTATTGGTAAAGAAATACAATAGTGTTCAAGGTATGCTTCAATGCAAACAAATATTACGGTATAATCTAGGACCTAGATTTTAGATAACAAAGGAGTTTGTGAGCTACTATGTGATAAAAGATGGAGAGAGGTACCCTAGTGCTACATTTAATATCTATGGTTTAAAAAAAAATTTAATACTTAAATTCAGGCATTAAAAGAAAGTTTTATTTTATTTTTAAAATTTATTTTAGGGAGAAGAAGGGAGAGAGAGAAAAACATCTATGTGAGAGAGAAACATCAATGAGTTTCCTCCTGAACATGCTCCAGACATATTTTTTTATATATGTAGTTGTCATCTTTTGATGTAGGGGATGATGCTGCAACAAACTGAGACACACTGACCAGGAATAAAAGACAGTTTTAAAATGGCATTCTAATAAAGAATTTCATATGGCTCTTGTAATAACATTACTACATGTTTGTTAACTTAGGTTTCTGACTTCCCGAGCCATTTGTAAACTTTGAAGCCAGGTGCTTTCATTCCTTTTCTAAATGTTGCTTATCACAAGGAATGATAAATATAATGGATATTTCAGAGGAGAAACCAAGATTACGGCAAAGGTAAACAACTAAACTGCTGCCTCACACAACAATTTCAAAACTAAAACTAAAATACAAAACGTCTATCATCAAGAACCATGAGAAAGTTGGCTGAGTGGAAGTTTTACAACTAGAAGGAAAGAGAAAGGAGCACAAATTCTTAAAAGCTGAGGTATGGGAGGCACGTGAATCAGGCTGGTGACAAGCGACTGGGTGCAGGGCTTTTTTTCAATCCTAAGGGAGACAAGCTCCTGATCACTCTGAAATGCAATTTCTGGGGACATGCGGGGCACCCAGATGCCTACAGAGAGAAGCTGGACTGTCGGCCATCAGGTCAGAAAGTGAGGGTGACTTTTTTGCAGAGGTGTGCCCAGCAATCATTGTTTACTGCGCTGGGATGTGGGATGCAGGGACTTAAAAACACAGAAAGGCAGAGAAGGCTGGCTGGCAGCCATTGCTGTTTGTCATGCCCTAGCCTAGTGATGCCCTGAGATCCCACCCCAAACAGTCTACAAACCCACCCAGGCTCCACACAGTGGCTTTTGCATATAAATGGCCTTCCCTGTGGCAGCTTACTCAAATAAACTGCAGCTCCAGTCAGACTACTCCAAAACCGCCAAATCCCAACCAAAGAGGAGAAAACTGTAGTTTTTGCTGTAGCTCCTCCTGGATGGCCTCAGACAG